GCCTTTGTTCCACTGTGTTTGCAGTGCGCAACAGCACAGGACACCGTGGCAGATGGGGAGGCCTTTGAATCTTGCGACTTGCCCTTTCCAGAGGCCGCGTCCTCAAGAGAGACACAGAGACTGTGGTAACAGGGCAAGTGCTGCATGCAACAACTCTAGCTCTAGCTTAGAAGATGTTTCAAGACTTTGTCTATGTACTTGGCCGTCTACGTGACCTGTGCCAAAGTCAAGTCATGACAATTTATCCGCAGCTGTTTGGCACAAATTCAATACCAAAACAACCGTGAGCGTTTTGCTGCCTCTTTGCAAAAATGCCCGATGCTAGGCTGGAAGTGTTAGGCGGACACTCCCAATCTTTAAATCGCAGGGTAGGAGAGACAGCGAACCAGGGTAGGGAACAAAGGATGCAGAAGGGATGAGCAGGTAGCATGTGTGTGTGTGTGTGCATGTGGGAGAGCAATCGGAAGCCAAGGAAGGGGACAAGGTGCTGCTCAAGTCTTCCCAGGGAGAAATTTTCGAAGTTGAGCCGGAGGCTGGCACAGTTTGAGGATTTGCATGTTTGATTCGTTGCAACATGTTGGGTCAATGGGGGGGTTAGCCCAGAAAGCAAACCTTCCCGATGATCCAACATGTTTTTTTTGGGGGGGCTGCGGACAGTTTTCTAGTCGCGTAACTCGACACTTGCGTTGCACTTTTGGCTTAGAATTTGAGGTTTGTTTGTGTTTGTCGTTAGTTCTTTTGTTGCGTTTTTCCGGTTGAAGTGCCCTTCCCCCAATCAGCATTTGAAGATGTTGATGGATTTTTGCGCGGCTGACCCCTGTTTTTGGATGCCAACATTGATGTTTGCTCCCGTGTCTCCGATCCGATTGTGTCATCTGTTCAGGAGGTTTCATTGTGAAGCTGTCAATCACCCTTACGTTTTGATCATCTCGTCGGTTTTCGGTTGGTCTGGCTCGATGTTTGGGTTTGTCACTCTCATCGAAACTACATGCTCTTATTATTTACTGCATTTTCTTGTGGAGTGCAAGTGCATTGTGGGTTCTTTCAAGACGTTTATGGCAAATCAGAGATGTTGCACAAAGCAGACATGTGAAAAATTCCAAAGATCCTGAGATGGAGACACGACGCCATGTGTGACACCCAGGCCGCTTGCATCCGACACAGAGTTGGATGCGCGCTCGCGAAGTCCGCCGCAGGCCACGCGGACCACGCTGATCTTAGACTCCTGACATGAGTCGCAAGCGAGCTCAGTGGCAGGCAGCGGTCGGGTTGACACAGGCTGAGGTCTTGCAAGGCTGAGGTCTTGCCACTGTTGCAAGCGAAGATCTGCAGCACCAAGCAGGTCCTGGCTTCAAAGGGCCTACAAGGTGCTCATACCGACATGAAGTTGACTGCAGCCACGGCACGGCATTCCCAGAGTGAGCACACGCACGCCGATGGTGGCTATGTCCAAGAGGCACCTTCCAAAGAAGGCGTTGCAAGTGCTGAAACAAGCTAGCAAAAGCCGTTCTTCTTCTTCTTCCTCCAAGGCGACGCCACCCATGTTGCTGGAGAAGCAGAACAAAGGCAGTGTCGTTGACAGAGACTAAGCTACAGGGAGCTTGGCAGCAGTGTGGCAGTGATGAAGAAGTCATTGCGCGGAATGATGTAGAATGGGGAAGCTCGGGCGTTGCGATGCGAAGCTGCAACGAGAGCACGTTGATGGCCTCGCGGCATTGTCCAACATCCAGGCTTGGACTCAATGCTGCAGGTGGTGAAAAACACAGAGAGGCGGCGCCAGACAAGCTCAAACGTACAGTGACCTGTCATGGCTGGAATGGGCAGACGACTGATGTCTGTTGTGAAAAGAAATGGCAAGATTGTGGGAGGCGCCGAGAACTGGAGAGGTTGGAGGATGGAAGAGACTGGATAGCAGACCTTGTCTTTTTGGAGTGTCTTGAGTCAATTCCACTCTAGTCATCGTCTTGGAGTTCTTCAACTCCAAGATGATACGTTGAGCAGCCCGAAAGGCAAGCAACTCTGTAAAACGCATGCTTTTCTAGCCCTCCACACATTGCTGTCCGGGCTAGCTCCCCGTGTGCCCTACACGTTGCAACTTAGGGGTGTACTTGCGCCTCCGCTCTGAAGTCTGTTTTGCTTCACGCATGATCACGGTGTTTCTCCAATTTCTTCTTTGACTTTGCCACTTGCGTTTGTTTGTTTGTTTGTTTGTTTTTCAAGTTTGTTTGTTTGTTTGTGCAGCATGCAGCGCTTGTATTTTTTCGACCGGTATTGGATACTGCTATACAGTCTCGATTGATAAACTTTGAGTTTCTTCCCAAACAGGGTGGTCATACTAGGGGGTGGCGCTCATCGGGTCGTTTGGCTCATTCGCTGCTATCTACACTACATTCATCTCAACATCCTCGAAGTGCATTTCGACTGCACTCTCGTTGCGGCGTGGCAGGCGCAAGGCGCAAGGGAAGCCTCGGGTTTTGGCATTGGTGGTCCCAAGCCAACTTTTGCGACAGGCGCCGGAGATCAGAGTGGCTTTACTTCGACGTGCAGATTTCGTGGCAGGTGCGGCATTTGGGACATGGCAGGTGCAGCGAGCAGAGCTGTTTTGTTTTGCGTTTTTGCGTGGTGTGAATCTTGACGCGCAGATTTTGTTGCAGACGCGCAAATTTCACGACAGCGCAGCACTTTGTGCACCTCGAAGTGCTTTGTTTTTTACGTGTGCTCTCAAGATGTGTGCTCTTACATGTGCTCTCATATGTGTGCCCCCTACATCAGGATCACCGAGTCACAAAGATTATTTTCAAGGGCGATGTACCCCCCGCTCATTTACATTTACAAACATTTACCGGTCTCCAGTCTTCATGTTTTATAATATGTTTTATACATTCTTCACTTGGAAGTTGTAAGGTTCATGATGTGATGACCCCTTCCCCCATTCATACATTTTTCTACATAACGTATGCTTCCTCAGGGCGGTTCCCCCTTGTTTTTCAATATCAGAAAAATAAGTTTCTGTCAAACAGTTGACCTCACCACACCTTCATGGTTCACATGGCCAATGAAGTGGCCCAAGCGTTTATGCGGAGAAAAGGGTGCGTTTTGTCCATGCTTTGCATGGTAGCGGAGCCGGCCAAAGAGTCGGCTCCCACTGCTCCCTGCCACCTAGGATTGCCATGGCGATGGATGCTCATGGTCTTCTTTTTGTTGATGATTGGTGGACAGGTTGAGCCGCAGGACGACATCGTGAACGAGCAGGACTATTTCGACCCCGAGGAGGATTTTAAGGTGGATTTGGTGAAGGAGGAGCGTGAGGCTGAGTGGATGGAGGATTGGCCCCTCTGTCGTGGGAAAGCTTCGGCTTTGATGGAAGAAGAGGTGTGGATTGGACGCACATCTTGTGATGTTGAGGAGAATTCGCACTGGATTGGACCCAGTTGCTTGGAGGTGAAGAAGCCCTACTACCAGAATCGTTCATGGACTATGTGGACCACGGTTCTGGCTCAGGTCGAGGATTGGTGCCTGGACCTACGAGGGAGTCAGAAGAGGATGAACAACCAGTCCCAAGGCTTTGAGAGCCTAGTTGGCCAAGAGGTCGAGGATTGGTCCCTCGACTACATGAAGGATCATGATCAGGGCTTGAACTACATGATGGACGAGAATGAAGTTGTTCAGATCATGAATGGTGACCTCAACTACACAGCAGGTTTGGTCTCTATGCTCCTGTGGAACTATGTCCCCAACGACCTTGTGGAGAAGGTGAAGAAGATGTTTTATGAGGAGTTGATGGGTGAGAAGATGCCTTGGGGAATTCTTGTCACATCCTGCGTGTGTGGAGCCCTCATTTGGACGGCGATGGGACCTATGAGAAAGAAGTGTTTGTGTCGAAGACGCTTGGATAGGGGCCACTTGAGCTACAAGAGACGAAAATGGAAGGGCAACTTACAGAAACGATTTCAACACCGGCTACGTCTTCGAGGAATGGTGTTTCTCAGTTGCCTGATAGGAGCCCAATCCATGGATGCAGCACAAGCAGCTCAAATGATGAACCAGATGATGCAGATGACTGAAGCTGCAACGAATGCTGCCAGGGTTTCAGCTCTAGCATTGGAGAAGATGGAGCAAAAGAAGTCTGTTGGAAGTTTTGGTGAAGCCAGTAAGGTACTCCGACCACCAGAGTCACTTGATGGTGATGACCCTCTACGCTATGTGTCGTGGAGAGAATCCTTCATGAACTGGCTGACGTATGGAGATCCTCGCTTCAGTGACCTTCTTCGAGACGTGGAGAACCTGGATGAGCCCTGCAAGCTGTCAGACTTTGCCAATGCAGAGGTGAGAGAATTGGCTCGACGCTTGTACTCCATACTGGCATCCTATGTTCGAGGCCCAGCTCTCCAGTTGATCAGAGCTGAATCCAGTCAAAAGAACGGCTTTTTGGTCTGGCAGCAGCTTCGAGACTTGTATATGCCCCGTGCAAGGCCGCGCACCATGGCCATTGGTCAGGCCATTATGAGCCACCCGAGTTTTCCTCGAGAAAAGAGCATGTTGGAGAACCTTCTGCAGATGGATTTGTTGCTGGATCAATATCGAGTTGCTTCAGGACACCCTATGCCCGATGATTTGGTGGTATCCACCATCCTCAGATGCATCGACCCTAATGTCAGGCGACATTTGGAGCTGACGATGGACGACTCCATGACCTACAACATCCTGAAGGAGAAGCTGATTCTGATGGACAAGAATTCCAGGGTGTGGAGTGGAGATTCGTATTTGAAGCTGGTCCAGAATTCCCTGAAGAATGATCCCAGCGGTTCAGCTCCTATGGAGGTCGATAGCAAAAAGGAAAGGGAAAGATGAAAGGTGGCTGGATTCCTTTTGGCTATGGTGGAGGAAAAGGCCTTGGAAAGCAGAACAAAGGCAAAGGAAAATCCAAAGGCAAAGGCAAGAAAGGGAAGAAAGGCAAGGGCAAGACTCCAGGAGGAGGAAAAGGTAAGGCTGGTCATGATCGAAATGCCTGCCGAGTGTGCGGACAACAGGGTCACTGGGGCAATGAGTGCCCAAACAAAGCCCAAACCGTGACCAATGTGACTGCTCCTAGTGTTGCTGAGAGTGAGATTGCAAGCTCGGCAGGAGGTAAAGCTCGTGCAAGTGGTTCATCAGTTGCTTCAACAGCCACGACGACTGCACGACCTCAGGTGAGACAGGTACGCATGTACCATGTGGCCACGCCTCGAGAAGAAATGTCCAGTCCTGTGGTCTACGACATTCAAAGTGAAGGAGGTGACAGTTGGCTTTATGATGATCAATATCAGGTTAACGTGGTAAGCTTTGCCATGGATGTTGAAGATTCAGAGGATGAGGAGAAAGAAGCTTGCCAGTTGGACCGGACGACACGATGGTATTTGGACATCTCATTGAGGAGGTATGTGCTCACTCAGAAGCCACGCGAGGAAGAGGAGACCTTCAACATCTTCATGGTCCAGCAGTTGGAGGAGAAGAGTTTGATCGTTTTGGACTCAGGAGCTGACATCAGCATTC